GGCATTCCACCCGTGGGAGTCTACTATGGACCCGCACGTGCAAAACGACCTGAGGCTCAACACTGGGCCGTACATCCTTGCTGATTCCATTGGGTCTATGTACTGGATCTGGCCAGCCATGGGGAGAACCACTACAACAAAACAAGGATGCTTCAATGGCAGTTAGCAACAAGGAAAGGAAACCCACCATTCCCCACTCTGCCCTCCAAATGGAGTCGAGCTGTGAAGGGCACGCTTCCTATAGACTGACTGTGCTTGCCTGTTACACTTGCAAGAAGTGTTGCTTCATTAGTGACACCTGTGAACCATCAGGTAGATATGGCCTGGGCAGTTCTGTAGCAGTACCCAAGACTATCTTCATCTTTAGTACAGAGGCAATTCCTGCCAAGACTGCAAGGCCCAGCATGCAATAGGCCAGGCTTGTGAGTTAAAGATGATGAAGAAAGGAAATCTGCATTCTCTGCAAACTAGCTGTCAACACTTGGGCTCCTGGCAGCCTTAGACTGGGCAAGCACCATGTGCTCATTAACAGAAAAGGTTAATTTCCATGAGACACAGCAGATCCTAGCTAGAAAAGTGGGCAAGAAGCTGAATAGTCTCTGGGCCCTGCTACTAGCATTTCTGAAGTGGCTGGACATTGGGTTTCCTCCATTCTCTATTGCAGGAGGTGGGAAAGGAAAAAACTTCAGAAATAAGTGGAGATTTCTGCCTCATTTCTTGATAGCTGGTGAGCCCCCTTCCTCTCCCCCTCCCACCCATCCCCCCTGCACTCCCAACAGCATGCACCAGGGAGCAATAACGGTCCCAAAATAACATATTTAACATTTCTGAACAACTAACTTTGCAACTTGCCCATTCGAGGCTGAATATGCTTGTCATGTTGATGGTGTTACACATGGTAAGGTTATTTCTTACTGGGGTTTATCAGTAAAATTCAGAATACTCTTTCCATAGGAAAACAAAATGTCTCTGCGGGTTCCCTTCTTGCTCCCGAAAATGACCAAGGTGGCCAGAGAGCAGGTTCTGACAATAAGCCAATGCAGTGGTATGTCCATTCACAGTTGTCCGAGGTTAGCAATGCACCTGCTGCACCTGGCTTTCTGTTGCTTAGCAATTGATAAGCAACCAGAAAGGCCCCTGTAAACAGCAGGAGAGGCCCAGGCATGTCATTTATATTGAAGAACAAAACAAGCCAGCAGTTGTTGGAGAAACCCACCATTAGAAACCCAAACAGCTGGTTTATTGGACAAACGGTTTGATACAAAGGACAGAAGGAGTCCCAGAAGGTAAGTCTTGGCCAGGTTTTCTGTCAAAAAGTGCTACAAACATGGATTAATGAGTTTATAAAACCTTGTGTGTCAGGCTACAACCATTAGCAGTGCAAGCTTGTTACCATCAGCCCCCATGGATAAAAGGCATCTAAACCTTTTTGGCCTTGGGCTGCCCAAAATTGGAAGGCCAAAAACCAGGCCTGGTTTGTGATGACATGGGTGTCCCCCACCCCCAGCCCAATAGCTGACAGGATGGGACAATCCTGGTGGCTGTGATAAGAAAATCTGCATGCCCAGGGTAGGGTGCTCTGGGGAGGGCTGCTTGCCATTTCTCTCAACCTCCCCCTTGCTCCTGTTTCCAGCTTGCTGACTCTGCCCCAGGCTCCCAGGGCCTGGGAGGATTTCTGCTGGTGGAGCAAAGGAGGGGGTGAAATCTGGGAACCCAAGTCACTAGACAGAGCTAGTCTTCCACTGTGTCAGCTCTAAGCTGTGCCACCTGTGAGAGCCAGCACTGGAGCTGTCGGCAAAGGTGAGATGCTCTATGGAACCGAGGGCAATTGAGCAAGGTCGGTGTCTCCCTGTTCCCTCCATCCTCTCTAGAGTCTCTTGTGCACCCATAGCTTTGCAATAACTCTTCTCCCTTTACCAGAAGTGAGGAAGGACTAACAGAAGCCCAAGGTGAGGACACTGCTGCCTCCTGTGCTGCCCTTCCCTGCCCCCCAGGGGAACCAGAGGCCCCATGGGGGCCTGGGAACTAGCAAGCAACTGGGATGGTGCAGAGAATATGGGGCATGAGATTTGGGGTACATGAACACAACAGAAAGAACAATGAGAAACTGGACGCCAAGAGTGACTCCCCCAAGCCGTGAGCAGGTGTTTATTCGGTGGACATCTAACAGCCCGGCAGTGGATCCTGGGAATTTGTCCCCTGGTGGGAGCAGCAGTGGTGGCCTCATCTGTAGAGCCCCCCAGGAGGAGGGGAGTTTCTGGAGTTCTGCCCAGGCTGGTTTTTGGCATTGTGCATACAAGTCCGTAGCGAGCTCAGAAGGGAGAAGTTACTGATGTAGCTTGGTATTCGGAGGGTGTAAGGAAGAGTCGTCAAACAGGGGGTTCTTCACCTCCATCTCTCCGGTCTGCAGCGGTTGGGGAAAAACCAGGGCGTTAGAGTTCACAGCAAGACGGCTTAGTCTCACAGCACACTAACACAGCATTTATTAGGGCAGGTCCCACCCCCACTATCTCCTCAGTACAGCATTCCCTAGAAACCCCAACTAGGCCCCACTGTGCACAGGCTACAAGAAACAATGCCTGCCCCAAAGAGCACAAAGCCTAGACAGACTCATCTGACCAAAAGGAGAAGAGGAAACAGATAGAGAAGGCAAATGACCTGCCCTGAGTCAGTAGCAGAGCTGGGCAGGGAACCTAGGTGTCCTGAACCTGGTGCTCTGTCCGCCAACCCTAGAGATGTTATTGCTCCATTCTGGGGCGGACTGGAGTAGGTGATGAAACCACACAAAGACTTTTTCCTAGATTCCCAGGGAGGGGAACACACATGGAAGTGCTACAGGCTCCAGTGGCTGCCAAACACTTGCCTCTCCTCCCTGTGGTGGCAGTATTTTGGCCAACCGCTTGCTAGGTTGATCCCAGTGTTTTGACCTGGGCTTGGCCAAGTGACAAAAGAGATGCAATTCAACCAGCCCCAGGCCATGTCAGGGGAGGGCTTGGGCAGGCAGAGCCCACACAGCTGGGGATCTCTTAGAAGAACAAGGCAGATGGCTCTGACTCTCAGCAGGGGGGAAGGAGAAAGGAAATGGCTGCCCTGCAGAGACCTAACTGCTGTCCCATTCTGGTAAAGCTACTTCTGGTCAGCTTTAAAACTAAATCCTGAGTCAGCTTCAGAGCCAGGCAGGGCCTGGGAGCTGAAAAATCTGACAGGAACTGACTGCGCATTCCCCAGACTGCCAGTGAGGGATAAACAGCTCTTTAATGGGCCTGTAAAGATGTAATGATGACCCTTAATCTAGGTCCTGATGGCCTGGCAGGGATGGCTATTACCATGTGAAAAGCTGCAGTAAAGCTCCCCTCTGACTTATTGTGTCCTTTACACCATAACTTGTAACAGGGCTGTTAGGAGTTGCCATTGTCCAGGGAGGCAAAACCTGGTCCCCTAGAACTGGGTCAGAAAAACCCTCATCTGGATTTTTACACTGGTCGGTACCCTGGGGAAGGGGGTGAAGAAGAGATCTAGTTTTCCTATCTGGACTAATCAACACCACACTGCCTCTGCATGGAGAGGAGCTGGGGAGGAAGTGCCCACCCCTTTTGTTCTGGGAAGGAGTGGGGGTGCAAAGATTCAGAGCCAGTGATCACTGATCAGGCACAGCCAGCCAGTGTTTGGGTCTCAGAAACAGCTGATCATGGAGACCCATCGAGGACAGGTAAGTTGTGAAAACAAGAACCATCATCCAGCACAGAGTCAAGTTTCAGAATTGTGCAAGACCCAAATCGGACCAAGATGGCGAAATCTTGGTATTTTCTGCAAAAACCATTTAAAAAAACAAAACAAAACAAAAATTGCACCAACAAGGACAAAATGTTTAGTTTGGACTTTTAAAATATGAACAGTCAAAATGATAAAAACAAAAACCCTAACATAAAAATTTTGATCCTACTGACAATTTCCCAGGGAAGCTTCACACCAGTATGTTCCAGTGTTTATAATTTGGCAAATCAGGATCTTTTAGTAGAAAGTCACTCTGTTAGAAAACTTTCAAGGAAACCTGAAGTGAAGCAGCACTGCTTCTGAACAGGGTGTCTGGGAACTTTTTTGGGAGGCATCTTTGGGCTTGGGAGATGGTCATACCCCAGCTGGTGTGAAGGGAGGATGAAAGGAGGGGTTAACTCCTGCGAGTCCTTTTTAAAGGTCTCATTGCTGCAATCCCTGGTAGGACAGAACTTCCTCATAGCTGCCTGTAAATATTGAATTCTCCACCAAAACTGGCCACAGCCATGGATTCAGCTAGTTGGGCATATATCACAGAGATACCAGTTCTTCCAAGAGTTGGTTTATCAAATGCCCAAGCTGCCATCTTACCGGAGCCAGCCCTGGGCACTCGTATACAGTGAAATCTCCATCCTCATTCTCTTCGTCAGATGATGCAGAGTCTGGAAGCTTGGGTTCTTCTTTATGTCTGCAGGGTGGAAGGCACACAGAGGAGTGTATGTGAAATTCAGAGGGGTAATTTCCTCTTGGATTCAACAGTGGAAGCCCAGCCTGCTCTCTAGCAAAGTGGACCTCCTGCTAACAAAGCCAGTGGGGATTTGCATCATCTTCAAGCCCTGCTCTGGCCCCTCATGACCTGCACTGAGAACCCCTTCAGAGAGGTTGGCTTTTGGCTCTAGACTTCTGGGCAATTCTTAGTCTGTGTTGAGGCCTGCTAACAGTGGCAACATGCAGAGCAGATGCTGCCTTCTCCGTAAGCAGAAAGAAGTCACTCACTTTTCCATGGAGAGCATCTGCTGTTTTTGGTGTTGGTAGTGATACATCTGGGCACTCTGAGCCAGCTTCTTATCCCCTGGCTACAAAAGAAAAACAGCAACAATAAACCCAAAGTTGCAGAGAGCAGCTGAGGCCTGCTCTACAGTAGAAAGCTTTGTTGATGGAAGTTTACCTGCGTCCCCACAGAAAAGTTGAACTGACAAAACCCCAGGTTTCTGATGGCTGTAACACCACTTCCCAGGGCGACACAAGCCCTCTGCTACCATAGGGCAGCTGACAAAGCACATGTGGACAGTGCTTTACTTCTAACAGTTGTAGCAGTCCCCCATTAGCAGTCCCACAGTGCCTTGCACTGACTGCTCTGAACATCATTTTGAAGCACGCTGGCCAAAATTCAACATGACTGGAAGCCCAGACTCTCCACCACTCAAGTGCATCTTGGTAGCAATATTCTCCCCCCTTTCTACTTTGCTAATTTTCAGGCACAACTCAGTGGGGTTAACAACAAACCGCCTTGCCAGAGGATTGGGGAGAAGGGGCCTAATGTCTTACCGAGATCTTGTCATATGGCAGGGGGGCAGATAGCTTCTGAGCCGAGTAGTCTGTTTTCTGAGCTAGTCTGACCTCTTTCTGCAGCCTGCCATGGAGAAGAGACATTGGTTAAGCAGGGACAGGCCCAAAGTTCAATCTTACTCACTGTTTTCATCAGCCTTTGGTGTCATCCCCCTGCAAAAAAACCCCACCCACCCCAGCTGTGGGCTACAACTGCAGCAGCACATCCAGCCTCTACCGTGTAATAAGCTTGCCATGGAACAGTTTAAGGGCCTGGGTTCCTCAGCCTTGGCAGGTATTTGAGTGCATGCTGAGACATCTTCCCAGCCCATCTGTCTCCCTGCTGGTACTGGGCACACAGGGTCACGGAAATACACAAAACCCCGATGCTTTTTGACATGCTTGGAAAGAGAAATGCTGGAACATTTCAATTGCCTGTTGGCTCCCTGTAGCTGAAGAGAGGCAGAGCAGTGACTTGGGCCAGTGGGTTTCTATGGACAGCTTAGAGGATGTTCTCCCTCTCTCAGTGTACAAGATACATGGATGTTCAGTGAAAGCGCACACTGCAAATTCAGAATGAGTGACAGGAGCTGCTTTTTTAACTGAATGTGATTTGAGTGTGGAACTCACCCTCATAAGGTGGCAAGGAGGCCAAGACCTTAGGAAGGCTCAAAGAGGGAGTGGACAGATACAGGGACACTGATACCGTAAGTGACTTTCAGTGCTTACAGGCTCACAAGGAAAAATGAAAAATGTCAAGCTTCAACACCTAGGCCAGTCCCTCAGTGGCACCAACCACAAGGAAACAATTATGGAGGCCTACATCTGCCTACTATATGGTTTTTTCCTTCTTTGGTCACTGGCCAACACCAGCCACTGGGACCTTGTCTAGTTATCATGATCTGTTGGCAGAACTTTTGGTGAGACAGACAGGTGTTATTGCCAAGCAGCCAGAGAACGTGCACATTTGTGCATTTTGGTGACTTTACATGGCTCCACTCAGCAGCCATGATATCAAGTGAACCCTGGGTGGGCACCCGCTGCTAAAGGGAGGGCAATGGAAACCTTGCTCCATTCAGCAGAGGGCGTGCAACTTTGCAGGCAGCATGGAGCGTTCTGCCACTGCAGAGGAGCTCTGAATGTGGACTCTGTAGTGCAGGCCAGGCCTGGGCTGGATGGACTTTGGGGCTGATCCCATCTAGCAGTTCCTGGGCGCAGACAGAAGTGCAGCTCCCAGCTGTAACTCAGAAAATGTTTGCAAAGTGTTTTGAGTTTCAACACTGCCCCAGAAGAAACAGAATTTCACTGTTGGTTCCAGGGGAGAGAGGAATCAGCCTGTAGCCAGGATCCCGTAGCTATGGCCAGGCTCTCTGCCAGTGCTTGCTGTTTTCAGAATGGGAGGTAAGACACCTGCCTCACCCTTCAGGGGGGCTGAAAAACCCCCAAACTGAACTCCCTCTCCTCCCTTTCCCCACTGCCATTTTGAAAACAGGGACAGGCTGGGAGCTCTGCAAACACAAGTTGCAAAAGACTCGACATTTTGTAACATCTTTATTTGATACCTCATGCAACAAAGGGGTCAGAGTTTCACCCAGTCGGCCATTTTTAAAGCTGTTTGCAGCTATGCACTTGTGTTTGGTCACAGCTACAAACTGCTTTCTGTGGCCAGATCAGGCAAAAAAATGTCACTACTGTCTGCACCTCCTATGTCCCTATGAGCTTAACCTTGTTCACTGCAGGGCTAAGCACTTCGACTTTGTTCTAGAGCAGTGGTTCCCAATCTGTGGTCCAGGTACCACCAGTGGTAAGCAGACAACCTGTCAGTGGTACATGTTAGCAGATTTATTATAATTGCTTTATATGACTAAAATTTGCTGGTGGTAATTAAAGCTGTATTGTTTTAAATTGGTGGTGCGCAATCTGTCAGAGTTTGGGAACCGCTGTTCTAGAGAGTCCCTCCCTGTGGGGTGCTTGTCATCTGGGAAGTACTTGGCCCCCAGCACTATTGGACCTGTTATTTTAGAACAGTAGATAAAGATGCTTTAAAAATGAACATCCTTCTATTCCTGATAATGCCCCTTTCACCATCTGTCCTGATACGGGCACTTCACATCTCCTCTTTATTAAA